CTAAAACCAAGACCGAACGAACAAGACCAATACTAAAACCAAGATCGAATATGCAAGATTAATACCAAATACGCAAAATTAAACGAAAAACTGTTACTTCTAGTGAATTTATTTGAAGCTACTTTATTATACATATAGGTATACGTACATAGTTTAGGCAAAAATTTACTCCGAAGTTTCCAACTGAACGAATAAGCCCATATCTGTCCAAGCATTACTGATGGCATGAAAATAAACACTTGTCTTTGATGCCATTTTTTTGAAGTAAGCGAGTAGACCATTCATTTTTGCAAAATATAAACTTTTGGAAATTGTTTAAACTATATTAATCAAATGATTAAAATGGTTGAAAATGCGACGTTTCTTGACGCCCTAAACGGTCAATCAGGACGTTTTTACAAATTTTAATTACATTACGTTTTCCTTTATTAATAACAGGCGACCCGCCTCAGCTTCGCACGGGTGCAATGCTGATACTAAATATGTATATTTTTGTTTTGTTTAGATTATTATCGAGAAGGAGAAATCTTCAAAAGATACCCTCTGAACATACTAAATATACTACAGAATGTCTTTATATGGAACATTCACAGTGGTTTTGTCATTAGACAATACAAACCGGCCTCTCGGCCGGTACCGCCGCATCCGCTATGTCCCTGCATTTTAAATCTGTAATATCTTCTAAAATATTCATTTAAATTACATGCTGTAAAGGGCCATATTGATCTATATTAAATGCACAATGTATTTAAGGCACTTAATTGGATAAGAATTAATGCTGTATTGCTTACAATCGCTTCGTAAATAAGTCATTATTTCTCATAAAAAGTAAAGGATAAAAATTATTATGTGGGTTATCCCTAAGAGATAGGCATGTACCATCGTGGATTTTTTTGTAGACCCTTTTAAGATGTACAATATTGTAGTACATTATTTTGATCTATTTCGTAAGGTTCAGCCAGCGTTTGCAATGTTAGCGCAAAAAATGTGTTTATTTACGACATCACATTAGAAACCTCTAAAATTACCAGTGTTTCCCTACTAGATTATGCATGTATTATACATATAAACCTTCCTCTTGAATCACTCTATCTTTTAAAAAAAAACCGCATCAAAATCCGTTGCGTAGTTTTAATGATTTAAGCATACATAGGGACAGACAGCGGGAAAGCGACTTTGTTTTATACTATTTAGTGAAGCAGAAGTGCATGTAAAAATAAAATATGTTGTTTTGAATAAGTACTGTTGTTGTTGTATACCTTTCATTTTCATATTTAATAATTTATTGTAAATAAAGATTGTTCCCAATATTGTTCATACCGGAGTTTTATTCACTTCGGCAATAAACGGCAATTTTGAGAAAATTCTGCTCGTGAAGTCACGGCAATCTTTTATGACATTAATTGTTTGTGTTGGGTTTAAGTAATTGTATCAATAATTCGAATAAACATGACAGAATGTGTTTTCGGCTATAGACCCATGCCGCCTAAAATCTATCCGTTTTCTCTGCAGATTACAAAATAATTAACAAATCGCAATTATTTTTAAAACCGTCAAGCGTAGATCCCAATTTGCCTTAATAAAATCGAAAGAGAATTTAATTTTGCATCTGACGATGTCAAAAGGAACATAGCTTCCCATTTGAGAAAAATGAATTATTGATGTTTGAAACATTTAAAATTTGAACATTACTAGTGTAATGATTTAATGTGCTTTGAAAGAAATTTTTAGATGGAAAACTAAGTGCGTTTCGTGCTCTTTTCAACAGTAACAGCCGTATCTTTTTATCGAGTATAATTGCTGAGATATTAAAATTTCTGTAAAGGTACCTACTACAAGCGTCAAATTTTCTAGAAATTACTAAATCACTCCAAAAATATATCGCGCAGGCCAAAACTAGGCTTAACAAATTGGACATTAAATTTGATGCTGAATTCAAAAATGTAATAATATACAGGGTGTTCTATTTAAAATAAAGCAACTGATGTATGCATCCGGTATATCCGGAAGTCCGCCATCTCTGAAATTAATTTCTGCAGAGGGATGATTTGATCAGGAACATTTTTTATTGGAATTATTTTCTTCCAATTACAACGACAAGACCGCTAGAGAACAAGGTGCGCTTAATGGACTAACCAGTATATACGCTTTGCGCGAAAACTTTGGAGCAAATTTTTGCTTAAACCATTTGTTGTACGTAAAAAGTTTAGATCATTTTTTTTGGTGAATATTTCGCTTATTGACTTCTAAGCCATAGAAAGTGCAATAACTTATTTGATTAGTTTTATAAGCCACAGTGATTTTGTGTTCCATTTTTAATATTTTTGACGTGACAACGTCTTATAATTCGATGGAGCCGGCTGCACGCACGAAAAAACATGATTCATGCGACGTTACCTCGCACTGAGGCGTTCCATTTAAGGCTTGAAGTGCAAGCGAGAGCGCGGAACGAGCGACAAAGAGGCACAATCGGCCTCCGCGTTCGGCAGCGTTCGACATCTGTCTCTCTCCTACTTAAGTGAGCGGTGCGTCCGCGTGGACAGCTGCTATACAATAATACATTTCCATTTACCTCCTTCTCTATATCCATACAAAATATCTATCAAACAAATAAAATTAAAACTTCCTTTTGAAAAATGAAACCATTCCATCAGTATTTTCTTATGACGTTGTCACGTTCAACTATCGTCAGTAAACCGACTTTACAGACAACCATAATACTCATTAAAAAAATACATATACATTTTATATACGCGCTCATCTTCTGTAATTATGGGGTGTACTCAGCAGGGGCTTTATTTGCGTGCCAAATTACCCCTTTTGCGGAGAAAACCGTACATTTCGTGGCCGACACGTGCGTGCAGGCCTCGTGTGCCCTTAAGTCATAATACGCCCTGACCCTTTATTCGCATGCATATATTATCTAATTGAGCGTTAACGTTAAATTGTTACTACGATTTGTCAACGAACTCATCGTCAGATGAGCAACCGTTAAAGATGTGCATTAGTCAGAGCATAAACGATAACACACCGAAGGTTTAGAAATAATTATTATTCTTCTTATTTTCATTAAAACTATATCATTTAGATTTTATTTTAAGATTGTGAACTTTGCCTGGATCAGTGACAAATTTGTTGCTTCTGGGGTTGACACCGAGACAGTCGGGAGTGGACTATGGTCCCTAATTACGACCATTCGAAGCAATTTTGCTAGTTAAAGGAAGAAAATACTAATGTAGTTTCTTGACTGAGCGACATGGTCTAGAACAGTGGTTTCCAAATTTTATTTTACCACGGCTTCCCTAAAAATGTTTGATTATATGGCGCTTCTCTTCCATTTTCAAAAATACTACAAAGAAAAACATTTTTAGTAATAATTTCTAGTAATAAAATTTTTTTTAAGATAAACTCTTACACAAAAAAAATTAATAATAGTTGTAATAATTATTGTCGCTTAATGAGACTAGTTAGTAGTCCGCGTCTCCCAGTTTGGAAAAAGCTGTTCTAAAGTCTAGAGATGTAGAAGCTAGGTCTAAAGTTGGGTTTCGGTTAGGGAGACCGGCGTCACCAGAATTTGTGAGATGGGAAGGGCAAGTAAAAAGCGCTGAACCCCCCAATTATGAAAAATAATATAACAATTGCTGCAAAATTTGATGCCATAAAAATTTATACAGTTTGTGTAAATTCACTTTAAAAAATGAAATAAATAAGTAGGGTTATGACCTTATCCGCTTGCTTGTATTTACGATGTAGATTTACAACTGCAAATTGTTAGAAGATATTGAAGGAGTATCTGTACCTGTCCTAGCAGTGGAGTTTGAACCTTCCAACCCTCCTGGTGGCTTCCCTATTGTTTAAGCAATACTGTATCAAAGAAGCGAATTTTATAAATATTGTTTGGAGATATAGTTATATCTCTATACATATAAGTAGTGTCCGATCGAAACTGGTTTTTACGACCGAAACCGAAACCGAAACCGAATTTCGGCAACGGTCTCAGTTTCGGCCGAAACCGAAACCGAAACCGAAACTTCCTTATAAGGATCATGTTTTGAGAGAAAAATAAAGAAAACGTTATTATAATCGGTCAGTTTCATTTTTTTATCTTTAAATCACATAGCTCTGCAGTCCCTCATTTAAGGAAATACTTTAATTGCGCCTCAAAAATACTTAAAATAGGTGAGATGCTTATTTGAGTAAGTATAGTAGACTAGACTCATTTTTCTTTTGAAGATGCGAAATGTCTTCTGTTCTTGTTCGCTTGGATGGAATTTAACGCGCCGAACATGACCGAGTAGAGCGCGCGAACTCCCAAGCGCAGTTTCGGTTTCGGTGGTAGTTTCGGCAGGTTTGCCGCCGAAACCGAAACTAAACCGAAACTCGTTTTTTTGCCGAAACTCGACCGAAACCGAAACCGAAACCGAACTTTCGGTCGGACACTACATATAAGTAGTTATTTTAAAAGCGATTTTATAATTTAGAATAACTTGTCATCATTTTAACTATAATTAATTAGTAACTTAATAATAATTGGATAATATTAGCCTACCTTATTAGATAATTAGGGAACGTAGAAATGGCGGGAAACTATCACAGTGTGAATGAAGGCGGTAAGCCGTCTCACCACCTTGCATCTTCACGATCGTGAATTCAATTCGCGACATTCGATGTCTTCGCTCTTTTTTTGATTATTACTCATTATAATTATGGATTCCGCTATTTAATTGGTTGCTAATTGACCTACTAACACAGTAGGTAAGTAGATATTAGCTTGCGGTTTTAAATAAACAATTTAGATGTACCAACTTTGTACCAGTGACCTGAATGCGAATTAATGGATGCTATGTAACAATACCTACTATAATAACTACGGAAAGAGAAAAAAAAGTTTTTTGGTGCTGTAATCTTTTGTCCATGTTAAAATTTTAAAACCGATACAATGTTTAGATTTAATGCTTTAATAATTTTTCCTTTGAAACGAACAGCAGTTTGTTTTTCAGCTGTTCAAAATGAAAGACAGCCTCGCAATACAGCAACCATTCGACCAGAAACTCTAAGAGAAATGAGTGCTGAGCAAGAAAGGGCTTTGAGGGAGGCAGCAGTGGCGGTGGGCGTATTTGGGTGAGTAAAAATTTATTTTTTGCAATCCTATTTTATATCACTAGTTTTTGTTTAAATAAAATAAGACATGGCAGTGTTTATTTATTTATTCATTCATTTATCTGTTTATTTATTTATTGACTTGGTAAATTACAGTCTTTGTTCTAACATTGATTACATCGACTGATAATAATTATCGCAATTAGATTATAACTTAATTTTATTTTTTAATGCGGTCTCTTCTAAAGTAATCCGGTAGAATTTTCTTTTATGGTCAGTGGGGGGAAGGGGTGTGACAATCCTCTCCCTCCCAAGCCTTGATGTCGAGTGACTAAGTCGGCATTTTCGTGTCGATGTTGACATATTCAGGAGTGTGAATAACTATGAAAAAGATTTTTCCTTTAGAAGTACAAATACTAGGGTCAATTGAAAAGTCTCCGGCCTGACACATAGATGGCGGCACCAGAACTAAATCCATATGATTTTCAGTTAGTCCTAACCTTCAAAAGACGCGTCTATAAATTTGACGGCTGTCGGATCATTAGTTTGTGAATTATAGCATTTTTAGTGAAGCAACTTTTGTTATTGTGAAAAAAAAGTTACGGACGAAAACATTAAAAAAATGCACAAAATGATTTTGAATGACCGTAAATTGAAATTGAATGAAATAGCAGACACTCTACAGATATCAACGGAACGTATACATCACATCATTCACGAATATTTGGGTATGAGAAAGCTCTGTGCAAAATGGGAGCCGCGCGAGCTCACTTTTGACCAAAAACCACGGCGAGTTGATGATTTAGAGCAGTGTTTGAAGATGATCACGCGTAATAAACCCGAGTTTTTGCGTCGATATGTGACAATGGATGAAACATGGCTCCATCATTTCACTCCGAAGTCCAATCGACAGTCATCGGAGTGGACTGCACACGATGAACCCGCTCCAAAGCGTGCAAAAACGCAACAGTCGGCTGGCAAGGTTATGGCGTCTGTATTTTGGGATGCGCGTGGAATAATTTTCATTGACTACCTTGAAAAAGGAAGGACCATCAACAGCGACTATTACATAGCGTTATTGGACCGTTTGAAGGACGAAATCGCCGAGAAACGACCGCATTTGCAGAAAAAGAAAGTCCTGCTTCACCAAGACAATGCACCGTCTCACAAGTCAGTGAAAACGATGGCAAAAATTCATGAATTGGGCTTCGAATTGCTTCCGCATCCACCGTATTCTCCAGATCTGGCCCCCAGCGACTACTTCCTGTTCTCAGATCACAAAAGAATGCTCGTTGGGAAAAAATTTTCGTCGAATGAAGAGGTGATCGCCGAAACTGAGGCCTATTTTGAAGCAAAGGACAAATCGTACTACAAAAATGGTATCGAAAAGTTGGAGGATCGCTATAATCAGTGTATCACCCTTGAAGGGAATTATGTTGAATAAAAAAAACAAATTTTGCAAAAAAAAATGTGTTTTACTATTTTAGGCCGGGGACTTTTCAATTGACCTGTTAATGTTTGTATTCGGCAAGAAATTTTTAATTGGATTAAAAGCCACACACACACTTCCTACCCTCCCGAACTCTTGAAGCTCGGTAACTTTTTGGTGTCAGAAAACTGATTGGAACATTACAGGTGATTTATTAAGGAAAAAAAAACGTAAAAGTAGAAATACGTGTTACACAGTTAGGTGCACCTTTAATAGCTTTTCTATAGATTATCATATAATTATTACAAAAACAGAATTTTTTTAAATATAAAATGATGTGTCATCTAGGGGTCGACTTTTTTCCTTGTAAACTTAGCTTATGTTTTTTAATTTATTTAATGTGGTTTTTGGATCTGATATTTCCATATTCTTTCGTGTTTCCTCACCCGTTATTATTTAATGAGCGTATTGTGTGGATATTATACCTGTATGACGTAAAGAGGCACTGACGTGCTTAGATAAAGTATTTACTGTCAGACCAATGATCACAGCATCAGCATTAAGCTTTTTGTTTCAAGCAAAGCTGAAAAACCGACTTTCAGCTCAAATGCCCACAGCTTTTAACGCTTTTGATCTTGCAATGTTTCTACAAAGCAGCGATTTTCTGATATTTTCCACTTCATAAAACCTTTATAAACATATGATTCGCATGCATATGAAACAAGTGTGAGACAAATAGTCGTTTATTGGTTCCAAACAAATTTCACCGGTAAAATTTTTCACTATTGTATAGATTATGGAATAGATCAGTAGTTTTATTTTAGTTCTTTTAGGTTATTATTAAGGAAAAAATAGAAAATGAAGGCTGAAATAAAGGAAGAAATAAACTAAAAAGGGACTTATCCTAAGGACCAGGTTACCACAAAACCTGTTCACTGGAGATAGGTGTTTCTTTTTTTAATGTGCATGAGAGGACAATAGGCTTGTGTAGTTCACGAACGAACTAGTTCCACAGAGCGATCCTGTGTGTGAACTACAAGAACTAATTCGCAGCTAAACAAGAAATTAGTTCGTTAGTTCAATTACCTACCACGCAGTAAAGATGACGAAATATTGTAGGCTTTCACGACCGGCATCGAATATAGGTGAGTTGTTGTCCGGGCTGATGTCGGCGGGCTGCTGGGTTGTTTTTCCGACGTTTCATCCACAACTGTGGTGGACATTTTCAAGGGGGATGCCGAAGTCTTCATAGTTGCGAAACACACTTTGACATCGTCCTTGATGATGTCCACCACAGTTGTGGATGAAACGTTGGGAAAACAACCCAACATACCACCGCCCATCAGCCCGGACAACAACTTATCTAAATGTACCTTGACGGTTTGGGAGTTCTAAAAAAAAAAATAATATTTTTACGAAAATTTGATGTAATGTAAATTAATATCAGATAATTCCATCATTGCTGAAAGGGTCTTTACCTTTTTCGAATCTAAAGCGCCTTAACGAACTGTAACAGCGAACCAGTTCGCGGAAGAATAATAAACTAAGTTAAGCGCTCTTTTTACTGAACTAAAATGCCCAAGTCTAGTTAACAATGACCACATTAGAAATGGGTAAAATGCATGTCCCACCTGAACAGGCTCTTTGGTACCTTAGTAATACCCTAGTAAATCTTTTTTTGGTTTATTTTTTAAAATGCTTTCGATTCAATAAAACTTGATTAAATACCAATTTGTTGAAATTGATAACAGATATTTTAAGGAAATATTTTAGGCCGCCCGTGTCACTTACCATGGCTTTATCACCGGCTCGTTATGGTCATGGTTTATTACCCTCGGCACCACCACCACAAATGATAAGTAGAGAACCGACGCCGAAACAAGAAAACAGCGACAATGATGGTGAGATGATAAAAGTTATACTACATACATATGTGTATAGTAGAGACGATCAAAATTAGAATAGACGTATCTTCTTTCTTCTTTCAACTTGGGACTGTATAGTAGTCATTTACTACGTTTTGTATACGCCCTTGTTAAGTTAGGAAATGTTTTATGAGTATACTTCGTTTACTTTCTGTAGCGATGTGACCTTCAGTTTGACCGGCGCAAAGTAGAAAAGAACAGCACTAGGCCAGAAAAGAAAGGAGACAACTCTTGGCCAAACTCTTAACCGGTGAGGAGCGCATAATCCGTACAGTACTGTACAGAATAATTGACCATTTTATCTACTACAATTGCATTGCTCAAATGTGCTGTTATTGGTACCATTTACTACTGAAAATATCAACGAGATGTTTATTTATATTTGAAGACACATTAAAGGCATTAACGCTTGTTTTCGACTCGCACTACTATTCATGATTGAACAAAAATTTTGGCAGGTGCTGTATGAAAAAGTATGTTTAATGAACAAGAGTCGAGAGTATAATGAGTTTTTTCTCCCTTGCCTACGATTTTGCCAGCGCGCATCTAAGACATTGGAAGGGGCATCGCTAGAAAAAGTAAATGAAGTATAATACAGACAAAGTGAAAAGAGATAACAGAATAATAGTAAACGGTGCAGTAGTTAGAGGTTACTCAGGTACGCAAAAGATTAGGGTCGGCTTTATAACTGTCTGTCTGGAATTATATCTTTAAACAAGCATCTTTGCTTTCGTAAATTCCTAAAAATGTTGAACTTTCTTTAAAGTCCGATGCTGGCAACTTACTCATAGTCTGCTTGTCTGCATCTCTTTCTGCTACACATTAATTGGTGTTAATGTTATTCCTTTTTTTTGATAAGGGGCCATCCATAAATTACGTCACACGAATTTTATGATTTTTTGACCCCTTCCCCGTCCTTGTCATAGTTGGTCACATTTGTGAGACTTCCCCCTTCCTAGTGTGACGTCACATTCACATATTTTGCAATTTTTACATCTAGAAATTACTGAATTAAACCAGCAGTTCCGAAATTACTTTTATTTCTATTTAAATTATTTAATAAAATTAACATTTCAAAAAATTAACAAAAAAAACATTAGTTATATTAATTAAAGAAAACTTAATCATCTTGAACCCACGGACTTTGAAGCCACCCCTTCAAATTATTTATAACTGTCATAGCAGCCACTTCGTTCTCTTTTGGGTTGTTAATGTCGGGAACATTTATTGTGACAACATCTGTTTCATCCAACCATACAGCATCATCGTTGCAAATGTTTTTTGAGTTTTTTGTTAATATTGTAAAGTTCGTGTTTTAACATGTACATTTTGAAAATTTTGAAATGTGACGTCACGAAATTTAGGACCCCTCCCATTCCCTTGCCACACAATGTCACACTTCGTCGACCCCCTCCCTCCCCCTTAACGTGTGACGTAATTTATGGATGGCTCCTAAGTGTCCGCTGCAATTCCTACCTGACATCTCTTTTCTACATTTACGATATTCCCTACAACGTCTGTCATGAGTAAGAGTAGGCGTCTGTCAGCAACCGCTCTAGTCTATTTAGTAAGTTGAAAGAAGAAAGTAAATGCGACAGTTTTATTACAGTCTATGCCAATTTTGAATGTTCCAACTGTATTTCTATATTTTTTCTTAATCGATTTTTGAACTATTCGCTTATGTGGTGTGCTATCAGCATGTTTTAAAATTCATAAATAGGTGGCTGAATTCCGTTCAAGGGTAGTTTTAGAAATCGTTGATACTAAGTAATAACGTGCGCCGAAGTTTACAAATTAGTTTACGTCCCATGGGAGTAATTAGTGGACTGACATTACAATCCAGGATTAAAGCGTACGAACTAAATTCAGAACACCAACCTTGTTCTGTGTATAGGCTGGACAATAAAACCATAAAAGTAATAGTTTTTAAATTAATGACTGAATTATTTATTTTTTTTTGTGGAATCAAGAAATTTAATGAAGCACATCAAATATTAAGACGGTTAATTTTTTGTTTTACAGATTTATTTGTTTGAAGCATAAACAAATAAAAAACAATGTTGAATTGATCTTGGTCTTGCAGTTTTGTCTTGTCTTGCATCTAACAAAACCAAGATCAAGACCAATATTAATGAACAAGACCCATGACCAACAACAACATTTATTAGCAAGATTTTCGCAAAATTCTCACTTAAATTTTAATACAGTTACAAATTGAATGAAGTAACTCAATTAATATTTATTTAAGCAAATAGAAGCTAATTGCGTTATTATTAGAGTTTCGACCTTTTACTGTAACAGTTCTTTATAAAACAGAATCAAATAAGAATATTATTAGCCCAAGTCGACGTTTTGCTTCTATTTGGCAGAAGTCTTTTCAAGACAAATTAGTTCTTAGTTCCCGCACTCGTCGAGTGCTATAAAAACACTATTATTAAAGTTCATTTATCCTATATTACTGATAGATGTTATTGGAATGATTTACTATTCAAATAGGAATAGTTTGAAGAATGCCCTGAAATGAACACAAAAACATTAAAAGGTGCATATTTATCTATTTACAGTTATCGTCATTACAATGTGTTGAAAGGGTAGGCTTTTAACTAATTTTACGATTATAGGGATAGATTTGAAATTAGAAAATTTGAAACAAGTTGATCTCTTAATTACGTACTAAGGATCATCGACGACCACATACAACTAATTTTTCTATCCTTTGGGACCAGCATTGTTTTTCTGGTTAAAAGGTACCCTATGTTATTTTCTGTACTCCTGACAGTGTGTGTACAAAATTCCATGATAGGTTTTACCAGTGGCTTCGTTCGGATTGATGCCCTAAGTACGTGTCAAAAATCATCGTAAAACGTAAACTAATTTTTCTATCTCTCGCGAACAGTACTTTTTGGCACTGTACGGGTGCGAAACATGGACGGTGGGCGCGGCGGAAAAGAAAGAGTTGGAAGCGTTCGATGTGATGCGTGATGTTACGGGCGAATGATGAGGATCCCGTAGATAGAGAAGGTTAAAAATGAAGAGAATAGGAGAACAGAGGACTTTATGGAAGTTAATAAGAAATAGGCAAGATAGGTTGGTAGGACACGTTTACAGGCATGAAGGTCTTGTTAGAGATCAGTGGCGGAATAAGGCTAAAGCGGGCCCTAGACAACATTGTAATTCCGGGCCTATTTTTCAGATAAAATATTTTTCAAATGAAAATAAAAATTAATTATAAAAATTAAAAAATTAAAAACCTAATTTTCGGGCTCCAAAAATTACGGGCCCTAGGCACGTACCTAGGTTGTCTAGGCCTTAGTCCGCCCCTGTAGGTAGGTCCAGGATAGGAAAGAGTGGAGGTGCGTGTCTAACCAGTGTTGGGACTGACAATTGTTATGTTAGTTAGTTTTTAGAGTTTTATCGATACAAAAATCTTTACTAATGTTTGTTAATGGTTGTTGATCTTTGAGCATGTCCTTTAACCAAATTCCATCAACTAGCCTTGAAAAAGTCCAACAACTTGGGCGAAATGTTGATTGTGTTTTTTTAAATAATATAAATTTAGATCTCAGTATTGCTTTGATCAAAACGAGTTGAATACAAAATAGGAGAAGAAGATTAAACAGAATTACACTATAGGATCTTATTTTTGATCATTTTTTTAGAAGAAAGTATTGACGTTACTAACGAGGAAGATGACCTTCCCAATTCAGGATGTGGGGTTTCGTCTACCAACGGCCCAGTTAGACCTGAGCCACATTCTGCCATTTCGGCAACCGGCCTATTACCGTCTTTCGGTATTTATCCGACGAGTCAGGAAACGGTTTACGAAACGTCAGCAAGACTACTGTTTATGGCTGTAAAATGGGCAAAAAATTTACCTAGCTTCGCCAGTTTACCATTCCGAGATCAGGTAAATAGTAGTAGACCTAATTTTTAGTTTTGATGTTACCTATCAATAACAATGGAGAATGGTAGTTCGGTACGTGCGCTTGATAAATTAAAAAAGTCACGATTACTTTTGGCAGTATCTTAAATATCTTTCCTTTTAGCAGTTTTCTCTATTCAATTTAATTTAATTACCTCTTATGGATATTATATCCTTGCGGTTTTTTGGTCTGTTTTCGCGCTTTTTTGCATAATATCCTATTAATGCGAATATTGACTTTAACTTTTGACGTACTAGGTTACCCTTTTTGGGTACTCTTCAGTACATCTTCCCCATATACCTATTTGTAATGCCCATCTGCTCATTTATATCTGCTTTAATGCCTATTTTTTTTTCTCTATTTTGACTTATTTTTGTGGTCTATTAAAGCTGTAAGCTTGGCAAAATTTTTTTAATTATCTAGTTAAAAGCAATGTGATTTCATTGAAACTGCTTAGGAGTTATAGAAAATAAACACTAATTGGTAAATTTCAATAATTCTTAACTAGGCACACGGCTTGACTATATTATTTCGTCAAACTTCGGCTTCTTTAGATGCATTTGAAACAATATTACCAAGTGAAAATTGAAGAACTTAATGTTTATTCTCTGTAATTTGACTATGAATTTCAACCAAGTGAAGCGGTGAACTCTATTTTGTATATCTGAAAATTTCCTACAATTATCCTTGGATAAACATAGGTCATCCTTCTGGAGGAAGTTTGGAGCGACCTATTTCTACTCAATGCGATTCAGTGGTGTATGCCCATGGATGTCACTTCCTGTCCTCTTTTTAATCATCACGATCATGATAAAATTGGAGAAACGTCTACAGATGTGAAGACCTTGGCAGACACATTGATGAGGTTCAAAGCTATCCATGTTGATCCTGCAGAATTCGCTTGTTTGAAGGCAATCGTCTTGTTTAGAGCGGGTAAGTTTGCTTCATAATTTTCTTTAATAACAATAACAAAGTCAACAAAAACACAAGTCAATCATAAAAGGGTAATCGAATTAAATACTTTTTTTAAACAATTAAAAATTATATTTATTTATTTTTATTTTTATATAATAAATAAATACGAAACAATAAAAAAATGTACGATTCATGTAGAAAAATTCTATTAAGTTGGTGCCGTTCTACTAATATAAAAAAATTAACACAAATGTTTATTGTTAGAATTTGTTATCAACAGCATAAGGTCGTCAGTCTTAAGACTGGTTCAACACGTACTTCCACTCTTTCCTATCCTGAGGTAATCTTCGCATTTTCCCAAAACTAGAACAACCCATATTCTTAACTATTTCGGAACAATAATCTAATCTAGGTTTACCTCTACCCCTCCTAACTCCTGTTTCTGCCTCTAATATGTCTCTGACTAGACCATCATGCCTAAGAAGGTATCCTACCAACCTATCTCGTCTCTTTTTTAATGACTTCCATAGAGTCCTCTGTTCTCCTATTCTTTCTATTACCTCTTCATTTCTAACCTTCTCTATCCACGGTACCCTCATTATTCGCCTGTAACACCCTATTGTCCTTGTTTTGCACCCATACACCGCCGCGCTCCAAACCCACCTTTAACAATCTTTTTCAAATTTTTAATGTTATGAATGAAATTGAAAATGAAAAAGTAGGTAATATAAAGCCGTCTTATATCGTATTTGTTGAATTTTTAAAGTGAAAATTCTTCAACTAATAGCTTTTACGTCTAATAATGGGTTTTTGATGAACAAAAAATGTATAAAATCAGACAATGATGACCTCTATACTCGTTATTAGACATAAGCTTCTCATTCTGAGGTTTTTAGTGAGCTTTTCCCAGTCGGCGTTATTGATCGCGAAAGCTCAGTAGGTTGTTAGAGCTTTTACTTGATAGGTGGCATTTTCATCACTTCCATGACTTCCAAGTAGAATCTTGTTATCATTTACAGATTTACTTTAGTTTTTTCATTTTTAATTTGAGTGCTTTTATTTATGTATTAAAAAGTAAATACAATATAATATAAAACGTGTAAACACAGCACTGCTTCGTAGGAAAGAATTTGCTCAAATTTTTTTCACCAATAGTTTACGTTTTACTAAAAGCAAGGAAACTTTTTAAGCTCTTAGTGTATTCAATAATAAAGTTAAAAAAACTTTTTTTGAGGTTAATTTATACAATTTTGAAGGTTTTAATACACATTTGATACTTTTCGGCATGATATAGAGAAGGAGGGCGCGCTATAGCGAAATGACTCTTTTCAAAGTTCCTCGCCATTAACGGTTCTGCATTGAGTAGGTTTTATAGGTTATATTATAGTAAGTAAAAGCCTCCCCTTTTTACCTTTTTTACGTCCCCCACCATGCGACAAAATACTCACATTCTTGTTTCATTTATTTTGTATTAAGTCGTTGTAAGTTAGGGTAGGTAAAGGTTTCACTCTCTTTGTCCACACCGTTTCCTCCGGTATCCCCTGTATTAGGGGTTAGCAAGTAATTTTAGGTAGGGTCCCAATTTTTTGAAAACTTCTATCGAGGTCCAGAAAAAAATTATACGAGTGACGCTCAAAGTTCAAACGTACTTTATTATCTATAGAAAAATATTTTTTAAATAAATTATTTGAGTAATTTATTTCAAAAAATTTTTGGGAGTCCAGACTTGGACTAAAATTAAAGATTGTTGAACGCAAAGTTGTTTTTAGTCGGACAGAAATGTCCCTCATGCCCAATTTATCCTTGTAGAAACTCGAGGTTTAAAGGATCCAAGTCAAATAGAAAACCTTCAGGATCAAGCTCAAGTGGTTTTGTGCCAGCATTGTCGAACGCAGTTTCCAGGGCAAGTTGCACGTTTTGGACGATTACTGTTAATGCTACCTTCGCTGCGACATGTTCCTGCTGGCAGGATAGAGGCGCTATTTTTCCAGAAAACCATAGGAAATACACCAATGGAAAAAGTTTTATGTGATATGTATAAAAATTAACATATATAGAACTCTATTGTACATTGAAATGTCGGTTTATGTTACCATAATAATCGAATAAGTGTAATATATTGTAAGACATCACCTAATATTAATGTAATTCAAAATAAAATAATGCGTACTATATTTTATAGGCTTTATTCAAACTGAACGGTAAGTATTAGTCTTTAGTCTTAGCACTTTTCTATGTATTTAAAGTTTCGAAAAACATTTTTAAGATGGTAAACGTTTAAAAAACTAGCCAATTTTATTTACGTACTAGCTTAACCCGTTCAAACTTGGGAGGATTGGTATAACACATCCCGCAGAATGCTTCTAATATCTCTGTACCATTCAGAATAGATAAACTTTAAGTATTTATGGAATAATATTTTGACGGACGTCTGACGGGCGTCTGCTTACCGTCAACTTATGGATAGTGAGAAATAATAGTTGTACTGACGATTGTAAGAAAATCGTGTTTCAAAATGGCTTTCCAGTTGGACATTACAGTTTAAGGTAAAATGTGTGTACATTTACGGTTCTACGTCCCTCAATTAATAAATTTATATTTATAATTCGTATTTAATGATACTAGCATTAAAATTAACAGCTTTTTTCAAATTTGAACAATTTTTCTTTTTCTTTTTTAATAATTTTGGTCGTTTATTAGATTAAATAAGTAAATTTGCCAGTCAGATTTTTTTGTGCTAGCAACTAGTAGTGCCTACCTGTATTATAATTACTGTAATTAGTCTTCTTTTATAACCTTATAATTTTGTAAATTTCACAATATTTGGACAATCAAGATAGTATTAAATGTTGAGTGCATTTAAATTTAACTGCAGAAGTGCATCGTAATTGACTCTAATTACACATATAAATATTCGGTATTTTTTAAAGTTTCTTGCATCCAAAGAAAGAAACCTTAATGTATTTAGCCTGCCGTGTCGATATCGATTTAAATTTTAAATCGAAAATATTAATTATCAGTTATAATAGGTAATTCAATAGTATATATTTAAAGAATTTTTTGTTTATCTTATTGTGCTCATTTAATATGTCTAGTAACAAGAAATCCAAAAACATCTTTTTCCAAATCTTATTTTACACAAAACTTACTCCATAAATATAAGGGAGGAGGGTTAGTAGTACAAATCTAAAATTTACAATAAACTTTAATGAGCACCCCAGGCAGGCTTTCACTAGAAAATTAAATCGGCCTGAGATTCGTGTTGTGTTTAATTCTTTTATTTGAATTTTGGTCTAAATGTTTTTTTTTTAATTCGTTGGATTATCGGTTAATTAATATAGTAAATAATGATACTGAAGGTGTAGATTCAGTTGAATATGTATAACATTAATTAACTAGTGTGACCTTAATTTTGTTTGTTTTTCATAATATAAATCGAAATAAAAATGTAGGTGCGTCATCATCATCATCACAAGGTCATTCGTCCTGGGACTGATTGGACACGCACCACCACTCTTTCCTATCCTGAGTTAATCTTCGCATTTCCCTAAAACTAGAATATCGCACATCCTTAACTATTTGGAAATAGAAATCTAATCTAGGTCTACATCTACTCCTCTTTCTACTTGCAATATGTCTCTAACTAGCCCTTGTAACCTGTCCTACCAACTAATTTCTTCCACAGTGTCCTCTGTTCTCCTACTCTCTCTAATACCTTCTCATTTCTAATTTCAATCTACGGTATTTTTATCATATAGGTGTATATATAGTAATTAAATGAGAAAATTGTTTGATTTGCCCAAAAATGTATTGTACGATATATTCATTTTTCTTTATTGTGAAATTTGCTGGTCGAAAAACTTAACCAGTTCATGCAGTGAGTAGGTACTAGCCGCAAGGGTATAGCTTGGGCTTTGATTATTGTATTGTTTTTCATTAGTATTTTAATAATCGCTTCCTTGTACAGTACTGTTCCTTATTAATAACGAACTGTTTACAGTTTTTGACAAAATACTATCGAAGGTGTAATATTTGATAAACTATATAATCGTCTACTAGTGAGAAAAATTCGCGTTTCTCCATTACATTTATTTTATTGAAAATAATAACGTGAATTTTGCATTGTGAAATATCAATTAACTTAAATCGGAAAAAAGAAAATGACAATTGCGAAAAGGTACAATTAATGTTTTATAGCACAAGTTTAATTCTGGATGAAATCATAGTGCTTTTAATTGTACCACAATCTTTTCTAATGACTCCTCGTATTTGTTTACGGTTGCTGAAGCTCATCATTTGGTTAACACGCATGTGCTGTGTTAGAAGAGAAAGGAGCATTTCATCGTATCCTCAGTGGCCTTGCTTGAATTTGATCGAGCTTCACGTTTTATACGACAATTGTCTACGCCTTAAACCAATAAACAAATGAATTTTCCTGTTTTCCGTGCTTACGCGAACGTTTAAGAACTATGTTAATAGTTTTTAATTAGAATTATCCTTGCATTGGAATTATGCTTGCAGTAGACTTTTACACAAGAAGGTAAGATGGTACTATTACTTCCTTTTGATTTGTGTAGTTCTAATTTTATAGTTGTACATACGTATAATAGATAGAAAAACTGAAGGAGAACACTGAGGACATCAAGGCTTAAATTTAAAATGAAAATATCGTTAGTAAGAAAGGGAAGGTGGTTGCCTGACTTTGGATACTTCCCGAATTTTGTAACCTTCAGTAAATATCTCGAAAACCGATAACAATTCTTTGTGATTGATACACAGAACGAGTGTTTTTTATCTTCAGATAATCCTAGCTAAAGCCTTGATATTCTGAGCATATTTGTGGTTAAAATATTTTTTCATTTAAAAGGAAAAATATACAATTCGAGTGTAGAAAGATGCACCTTTACAACGATATAGCAAAATCGTTGTAGAATAAAGGTAAGTGTTTGGAAAAAAACACAAAGGTTGCCTCTTTTTGAATTTGAAGAGTGTCGCAAAATTTTGTATTCAAAATTTGGAACTCTACTAAAATTTTTAAGACTTTTTTATATACTATTAATAAGAAGAAAAATTACTCTAAAATGCAAACTAGTTACTTGAGATTATTACAAAAATAAATGGGGGGCTGTTCTGAATAGTACTTCAATGGGACGTATTATGGTTCAATGGTAATTTTTTGTACCAGGGGGTGTCAATGTTGACCAAACTTTTTTTTTCAATTTTAAAAATATACCAGGCGACCCCAAAAGTTCGCGATATAATCATCACGGCCAAACTCATGGTGACACCCGCATTGAGCACAGAGCGTAAGCAGGTAAACAAGTAATTATTGAGGGTTTCTTTATCAAGAAAGGAATTGAGCACAGGGATCATACGGGTAACAATTAAAATTACCGATGTTAAGAACAACATTAACGTTGTAATGTTGCCAAATATTACTGGTTTGTAAAGGGCGGAAGAAATTAATAAAAACAAGGGACTACCCTTATGCAGTTATAGTTATCATTGTCTTGTACAATTAATAACGTCTTCAATAAAATTTGCGCAGAACAGTCTTCTAGTGTCTCTAGAACAACCAACACTTGCGAGGCATTTCATTTGAAATTTAAGAAGGAAAACGTCTCTTCGCGTCCCAATATCTATTCTTTTCTAAAGGTTCTGATTGAAATTCAAACAGACACTTACATAAAAATAAATTCAGTTAACCAAGTTGAAAAAAAAAAAGAATAAGACGAAAAATACTGTTAAAAATCAATTTTATTGATCAAAAAATAAAGCTAACTAAATGATGGTGAAATATCAAGATACGATAAATATCGTTAGTTAAGTTGATATTATGTGTCTAATATAAAGTTGAAATATTAATTCTATAAGTACTTGTAACAAATAAACAAAATAATTCAAAGTAAATATTGTTTTTTGTTACAACATTCCATTAGAAAATTTACTTGTTAGCTACCAACTGCTTCAAAAAGAACTCAAATCCCTACAGATATTTTAAAGGAAAGCTGGCAACATGGCTTGTGCTCAATTCGGGTGTTCATTTAAGCACATGCAGGTAAGAAAATCTTTGTGCTCAATTAAGGCGACCGTTTGTGCTCAGTTCATGCTTATTAATCGTTTTTGTGCTCAATTCAAGTGCACCGAAACTCATATTTTAATACAGGTCGGACGAAGGACAAGATCGTTAGTGTTATTCAAATTCGCGGCGATATTCAAATTCTTCTTCGAACTTTTTTCGATTCTATCCTTATTTCATGTGGCTGCCATTTAAACGAAACCTTATTTTTTTCTATTTTCGAACACTCCGTATAGTAAATCAAATTTAAATTTATAGGCTATTTTGAATCGGCAACCAGTTTTGTTTGAAAATTTTTTGGTTAAATATACAGTTTGGCCGTAATGACTATATTGTGAACTTTTTAGGCCATTTGACTCAAAAAAAAAACATTTGCATATCGCAACGATTTTTTCTGAATATTTTGCTACAACTTTTTTCGATTGGAGCCATATTTCACATGACTGCTATTTAAACCAAATTTTCTTACTCATACTTTTGAACACTCTGTATAGTAAATCAAATCTTGCATTAAAATAGGAAGCAAAATTTGAAAAATTTTTCGATTAAACTTACAGTTCGGCTGTAATGAGCATATTGCGCATTTTTTGGGTTATTCTGTATATGACTCGATTCTATTACATGAATCCAACACGCTAAAAGTTAATATTTACCATTAAAAACGTGATTTTTTTGACTTTTGATTCATCATTTTTACATCATGCGCTACTGAGTCATCAAAGTCGGTCAGGTCACCAATTAAACAAATTTTGGTCAACTTCGTCGCTCTCCTCCCTTGCAGAAAAACCAGGAATGCAATTGAAAAACGCTCAATTAAAACAATACCCACTACGACTTCTTTATTCATTTCTGCAATAATCTCAGATGAGTCATTGCGAAGGAGAAACAACAGCAGAGTGGTAGTAGTAGTAATAGTAGTGGCATTTATTAAAACAAAAGATATATACATAATTACAATAAACTAAACAAAAGTACTTTACCTAAAAACTTTCTTACTTTTTAAAGCTTAAACCTTTAAAATTAAATACAACAAAAAATAAAATTATGCTTCTTTCTTTCTCCCTGTTCTGCATATTCTATATTTCCACCCGTCCAAATCCTTAACAATGCTGTAACTGCCATTTAGATGTTTCCTCACAAATACTCTCGTTTCGTATTCACTTCCAGTCCTCTAACAGCCACCCTATCATTCGTTCCGCATATTTTGACCATTGTATTGTTCTTAAGTCTTTCCTCTTGCAACCTGATAACAGCCTTCCTTTATTAATATTCTCCACTTCACTATATCTTTCTCACCTATAGATCTTCATCCCATAAGATACAACACCTCTTACTACTGAGTTGAATAGAATGACCCATCTTTCACAAAAATTCAGTAGCTGCCTTATTTGAAATCGCACTTGAAATTTGAAGGCACTATTAAATTCTACGTACTTTTTTACATTAACATCCCCTTTTATAGTTGTGTTGGTAGCTTGCATCTAATTCTAATTTAACGTGCGCTTTTTTCCGTCTACACCGTTTTCTTAATTTTAACCATAAATAATTCAGTAGCGGACTTATTTGAAATCGCACATGAAATCTGAAGGCACCATTAAATTCTACGTACTTTTTTACATTAACGTCCCTTATTATACATGTGTAGGTAGCTTGCATCTAATCGTAATTTAACGTGCGCTTTTTTCCGTCTACACCGTTTTCTTAATTTTAACCATAAATAATTCAGTAGCGGACTTATTTGAAATCGCACATGAAATCTGAAGGCACCATTAAATTCTACGTACTTTTTTACATTAACGTCCCTTATTATACATGTGTAGGTAGCTTGCATCTAATCGTAATTTAACGTGCGCTTTTTTCCGTCTACACCGTTTTCTTAATTTTAACCATAAATAATTCAGTAGCGGACTTATTTCAAATCGCACATGAAATCTGAAGGCACCATTAAATTCTACGTACTTTTTTACATTAACGTCCCTTATTATACATGTGTAGGTAGCTTGCATCTAATCGTAATTTAACGTGCGCTTTTTTCCGTCTACACCGTTTTCTTAATTTTAACCATAAATAATTCAGTAGCGGACTTATTTCAAATCGCACATGAAATCTGAAGGCACCATTAAATTCTACGTACTTTTTTACATTAACGTCCCTTATTATACATGTGTAGGTAGCTTGCATCTAATCGTAATTTAACGTGCGCTTTTTTCCGTCTACACCGTTTTCTTAATTTTAACCATAAATAATTCAGTAGCGGACTTATTTCAAATCGCACATGAAATCTGAAGGCACCATTAAATTCTACGTACTTTTTTACATTAACGTCCCTTTTTATACATGTGTAGGTAGCTTGCATCTAATCGTAATTTAACGTGCGCTTTTTTCCGTCAACACCGTTTTCTTAATTTTAACCATAAATAATTCAGTAGCGGACTTATTTCAAATCGCACATGAAATCTGAAGGCACCATTAAATTCTACGTACTTTTTTACATAATCATCCCTTTTAATAGTTCGGTAGGTAGCTTGCATCTAATAGTAATTTAACGTGCGCTTTTTTCCGTTATGCTCAGTATTCTCTGTTTTAACCATAAATAATACAGTAGCGGACTTATTTGAAATCGCACTGGAAAGCTGAAGGCACCATTAAATTCTACCTACTTTTTTACATAATCATCCCTTTTAATTGTTGGGTAGGTGGCTTGCATCTAATTGTAATTTTACGTGGGGTTTTTTCCGTCTAGGCTGTTTTCTCTATTTGATCCATAAATAACTGAGTAGCAGACTTATTTGAAATTGCATTCGAAATCTGAAGGCACCATCAAATTCTGCGTACTTTTTTACATAATCGTCCCCTATTATAGATGAAAACACCCTCATCTAATCGTAATTTAACGTATGCTGTTTGAGGATACACAGTACAGTAGATTCGTTTATATTTATTGTGAAAATATTTATCAAAAGTTTTCTTCCTGCAAATTTTCTTTGGTAATTTGTTTCCTTACAATATATTTTTTTCTCAGTAGTTCTTTTGTATTGATTTACATTAGCAATATTAAAAAGTTTGTTATTTTTGTGTAAATCTTTATTTAACCCTTTTCTCTACATTAGGCTTATTTTTATATTATTTTCTTTTTAGTAACCAGAGTTTGAAATCGATACAAGCCAGAGCAGCAGACGTTGTGAAACTTCCCAGTGTCAATAATGGATTAATCGGACCCAATGGAGATATGCAAATTACAGGTCATCGAGTCTTCCGCACTACCAGGACTTCATTGGACATTGACAAGGGAAGAATCGAGGCTTAGTCCAATCAGCCCGTTTCATCCAAAACAAGGAAGATCAATGTATGGTATGTATTAATATATTTTATTCTTACTTCTTCTTTTCTTTCCTTTTACTTGGGTTAAACCTTTGTCTTAGAATTCTTTTAACTTTCTTTAACATTATTTGTCTTTTGTTTTTTTTTTTTTAATTTCTTTCTTTTTCTTAAAGCACTGTTTTTATTTTCATTGATTTGAAAGAATTTTGTTTTAATTTTCAAGTGTTCACTCTTTTTGCATTCACCTCAGGACTCAAAACTGTATTTGTTTAATTTATTAAAGCTTGTGTTTCATCTTTTATTTCTTTTGGTTTAATTTAATGCTTTTCTTCAAAACTGTTTTTGTATTAATTCTATAATTCACGTACTAAACTTTAACTTAAATATATTTTTAGTCTTTAAGGCAGGACGTTGGAATAAGAATGCGCCCTGAAATCTACAAAACTACCCAGGACTAAAGATGAAAATCGAACTTATTAAAGATCTAAAGTCAACTAAAGCATCACTCGCAGGAATTGATATGTAAGTACATATTACCTATATATTCATAGGTAGATAGTAGATACAGTTGATTAAAATTACAGTTAAAAAACAATCACTGAATTTTAGCTAAATTAATTTTTACTTTCTCTTTGTTCACTTTAAGGATTTTTCTCAAAATGTATCTTCTGTCTAATTTCTTGTAGCCCCTCTAGATGTGTTTACTTTCAAAACTCCCTTCCTTTCATTTAATTTTACCTTTATTTAAATCCTTTCTCTTTTACATTAAGTATTTTTAACCTTTCCTTTTCTGAATTCTTATATTGGATTTTAACTTGAATATTTTCTTTCTTTTTAATTATCAAGGCAAGACTTTGAAACGAGATCCCGTAATGTGCAAAATAACCCAGGATTAGTGACGGACATCGAATCTATTAGAGATCTGGAATCAACTAAGCTTCAAGACCAGGAATCGACATGTAAGTATACATATATAATATATTTATTGGCACACACACTTGATTAAAATTACAGTTAAAACGTATTCGTAAAACTAAAATTAGAATCAACTTATTCAATCAATTTATTGGAGCTACATTTAAATACATTTACTTTCAAAACTCCTTTCCTTTCCTTTAATTTTAAATTTATTTAAAACTTTTTCTTTTACACTAAGACATTTTAATCATTCCTTTCTTTTAATTCATACACTGGACTTGAACTTAAATACTTTTTAATTATTTTCAAGGCAGAACCGTGGGACAAAACCATGTCCCGCAATCTGTCCAAAAGACTAGAAATGGGCATCGAACCTATAGGAGATGCTGAGTCAAGTAAGCATCACGAGGAGGAATTGACATGTAAGTATATATTATATAATCATAGGCAGGTAGAGTTGATTAAAATTACATTCAAGACGTATATTACTACTTGTAAAACTAAAATTATAATCGACTCTTATCAAATAATCACTCAGTTTTACTTAAGTTAATTTATATGTATTTTCTCAAAGTGTATCTTTTGTTTACNTGATCGGCACAGATTTCGACCGCACATGTCCTATAATGTTCGCACTGAGCCGGGGCATCCGCCTGTGAAAGAATTTTTCCGAAAAGTCCTACCGTTCTCCAGCTACGGCCTTCGAAAAGTCAAATTTGAAAATATTACGCTCTCTTTATATATTTTTAACCCTTTTCTCTACATTAGATCTATTTTTATATTGTTTCCTTTCAGTAACCAGAGTTTGAAATCGGTACAAGCCAGAGCTACGTACGTTCTGAAACTTCCCAGGGTCAATAATGGATTGATCGAACCCAATGGAGATATGCAAATTACAGGACATCGAATCTTCCACACTACCTTGACATCATAGGATATTGACAAGGGAAGAATCAAGGCTTAGTCCAATCTGCCCGTTTCACCCAAAACAAGGAACGTCAATGTATGGTATGTATTAACATTTTTATTCTTACTTCTTTTTTTTTTCCTTTTACTTGGGTTAAATCGTTGTCTTAGAATTCATTTAACTTTATTTAACATTATTTGTGTCTTTTGTTTTTTTTTTTTTTTAATTTACTTTCGTTTTCTTAAAACACTGTTTTTATTTTCATTGATTTGAAAGAATTTTATTTTAATTTGCAAGTGTTCACTCTTTTTGCATTCACCTTAGGACTCAAAACTGTATTTGTTTAATTTATTAAAGCTTAATTTCTTTCTTTTTAGTTATCCAGGCAAGACATTGGGACAAGACTGAGTCCTGTAATCTGCAAAACTGCCCAGGAATAAAGATGGGCATCGAACCTGTTGGAGATGAGGACTCATCCAAGGATCAGGAATTAGCATGTAAGTCTGTATTGAATATTCATAGGCGTAGGTTGATTAAAATTACAATTAATACGTATATTACTATTTGTAAAACTAAAATTATAATCGACTCTTTTGTTTAAATCGTTGAAGCTACACTTAGATGTATTAACTTTCAAAACTCCCTTCCTTTCATTTAATTTCAAGTTTATTTAAAACTTTTTATTTACATTGAGACTTTCTTTAATCTATCCTTTTTTTAAATTTTTATGCTGGACTTGGACTTAAATATTTTCTATCTTTTTAGTTATCCAGGCAAAAAATTGGGACAAGACTGAGTCTTGTAATCTGCAAAACTGCCCAGGATTAAAGATGGGCATCGAACCTGTTGGAGATGAAGAGTCAACCATGGATCAGGAATTAGCAAGTAAGTTTATATTAAATATTCATAGGCGTAGGTTGATTAAAATTACAATTAATACGTATATTGCTATTTGTAAAACTAAAATTAGAATTGACTTTTATCAAATAATCACTCAATTTTACTTAAGTTAATTTATACTTTCTTTTTTTTCACTTTAGGTCATTTTCTCAAAATGTATCTTTTGTTTATTTCTTTGCAACTACACTTAGATGTATTTACCTTCAATACTTTCAAAACTTCCTTCCTTTCATTTAACTTTAAGTTAATTTAAAACCTTTTCTTTTACAATAAGGCGTTTTTGCATCTATCCATTTTCTAAATCCTTTCTTGTACTTGAACTTAAATATTTTCTCTCTTTTTAGTTATCAAGGCAGAGCATTGGGACAAGGCTGAGTCCTGCAATCTGCAAAACTGCCCAGAATTAAAGATGAGCATCGAGCATATTGGCTATGTGTATTCAACTAAGGCTGATTATATAATCAGGAATTGGCATGTAAGTATATATTAATTATTCATAGGCATAGGTTGATTAAAATTACAGTTAATACGTATGTTACTATTTGTAAAACTAAAATAACCACTCAATTTTACTTAAGTTAATTTATACTGTCTTTTTTTCCACATTAGGACTTTTTTCTCAAAATGTATGTTTTGTTGAACCTACACTTACATGTATTTACTTTCAATACTCTCAAAACTCCCTTCCTTTCATTTAATTTTAAGTTTATTTAAAACTTTTTATTTTACATTGAGGTGCTCTTTAATCTATCCTTTTTTTAAATTCTTATCCTTGACTTGAACTTAAATATTTTCCCTTTTTAGTTATCAATGCATAACTGAGTCCTGCAATCTACAAAACTTCCCAGGATTAAAGATGGTCATGGAACCTGTTGGAGATGAGGAGTAAACTAAGGATTAGGAATTGGCATGTAAGTATATATTATATATTCATAGACAGGTATAATTGATTAAAATGGTAGTTAAAAGATATGTTACTATTTGCTAACTAAAATTGGAATCGACTAATATATTATCACTCAACTTTGATTCTTGATTAACTATTATACTTAAATTTTGGCGATTTTGAATTCAATTTTATTATAACTGCCATAAATTATATTTTGTTCTTTATGTAAGTAATTACTTACCTTAAACTTATTCGCAAAACTTTCTTTTAAATTATTATCTTTAGTTAAATTCATTTTACTTTCCTTTTCTTCTCGAACTGTATCTTTTGTCTAACTTGCGGTGCCTACATTAATAGTATTTACCTTTAAAAACTTCCTTCCCTTTATTTAAAACCTTTTCAATTAAAACACTTTTTAATTTTTTCTGTTTTTCTATTCTAGTAGTGAAATTTAACTTAAATCTTTTCTTTCTGTTTAGTTATCAAGACAACATTTTGAGACCAGCCAGATATCCCCAATGTAGAAAACAACCCAGGACCGGGTATGGACATGTAATCCTTTTGGAGTCGGCTAAGGCATCATTATCATCGCAGGAGTGCATCAGGACCACTACAACATCGTTGGACATCGAGGGAACGAATCAGCGGACTCCGGGATCCGAAGACTTCCAGTCCGAACACTTCAGGGTTGGAAGACGTCGAATTCCAGAACATCCAGGTACGAAAACTTCGAACTTCGTAGATTTCGAAGTTCGAAGATCGCAGGGTGCGGAGGCCTCGGAATTGGTCAGTCTGCGGAATTCAAAGACTTCGGGATAAGAAGTCTTTGCACTTCAGGTTCAACTCTGATAGTGCGAAACTGCTTATCTCGAATCTTTAAACTTCACAGTCTCACCAATTTCGAAAATTTCGTACCTTGAGATCTTTAAACTTCTAAATCTTTGAAATTCGACGTTTTCGCACCAGGAATCCTGAAATTCGAAAACTTCTAAACCCGAAGCGTTGAGGACAAGGCCTGTATGGCAGGCCGGTCACAGGGGAGGGCACCCGGGGATCGCCCCGGGTGCAGGACGCGGGGAGGGGCGTTACGGCTCCTAAAGGGGTCTGGGGACGGGAGGTGGCACCCGGTGATAACCCCGGGTGCAGGACGTGGGGTGGCACCCGGGGATCGCCTCGGGTGCAGGACGCGAGGTGGCACCCGGGGATCGCCTCGGGTGCAGGACGCGGGGTGGCACCCGGGGATCGCCTCGGGTGCAGGACGCGGCCCCCAGAGGGGGGCCGCACGTGGGAGGGGAGGGATAAACAGAGGGGGGGTGTACTGTATANTTCGACGCCGGTGGGGGACGCGGGTCCCCTGTCCGCGCGTGGGACCATTTTTAGCGGGATTGTATACCCCCCAAGTGGTAAGTGTCACCTTTCAATGACCAGGAACTATCTTCCAAGTGGTTAGAAGTACCTTACAACAACTGCGATCACCCTTCGAAGGCTTGACTTGTCCCTTTGCAAACAGAAATCACCTTCAAGTTGTTTAAAGATGATCATATCTGCGGAAGATGTGGTACAAGTACCACCCTTTCGCTGATAGGATCACCCTCAAACCACTTGAAGGTGTTCCTGTCCGCAAAGGGACAAGTCTTACCTGCGAGGGGTGATTTTGGCTGTTGAAAGGGACTTCTTACCATTGGAAGACGGTTCCAGCCATTGGAAGATGACCCTCACCGTTGGGAGCTATTCGCACCCGTTAGAAATGGTCCCCCGTTGTCCGCGACGATGATCTCCCACGATGAGAGATGTCCCTGCAAAAGAAAGGAGAATATTAACCTACATACAAATCAATTAGAAATTAGAAAGAGCAAAGAAAAGTAAATACTAAAAAAACAAGCAATTAAAAGTTTACCTCGATTGAAACGCGTCCTGATGTCCTTGAAGTGGTCCGAGGGTTGGTGATGAACTTCTGATGATGGTTGATGTTCCTCCAGTGGTCTATTCTGTAAAAGGTTCTTAAAATTAGTAAAAGGAAAAGAATTTACAAATAAAAACAAGTGTTAAGATACATAAAAAAGAAAGGAAAGCATTAAAA